GTATTACAACCTCCATTCCATAAGCGAGTGCAAATGGAGTTTCCCCCGTTGCGTGTCGTGGTGTGGTGTGGTTCGGTACATCCATAGGACGTTGGGGAACTCTTCCACCCATTTGCCTTTTGCGTTCTTTAACCTTTTCTTAATCTCGTCTAGGATTGTTTTATTCAAGATTTCAGCCTGTCCATTACTCTATGGGTAAGTTGGAGTGGAGTAGTGATTCTGAATCCCATATTATTAACAAAAGGCTTTGAAGGGGCCGCTTTCGAATTGGGTTCCATTGTCGAATATGAAGGTTGTTGATATACCAAATCTTGTGATAATGTTCTTTCATACGAACTTTCTTGTGTCCGTGTCCCATATGTTTGCCAAGGGCTCAACTTCTATCAATTTCGTGAAATAATCAGTTGCAACAAGTAGGAATCGCTTATTTCTGAGAGCTTAAGGCATTGGCCCTACTATACAAATGGCCATGGACTGGATAATGGAAGCAAATCCTAGGCGGGCTTCCTTGGTATTGGAGAAAAGATCTAGCATTTTTCACGTCCCCTAACAAACTGCTGAGTGCCTTTTTGCATGTACAACCACCAAAATCCTTGAAAAAGTGCTCAGTGGCTCAGTGACCTTCCCCTGGTTCATGGATCTCAGACAAGAAATCTTGGACCAACTTTGGACGAACGCATTTCAAGTATGGTCCACCGAATGAACATCGACATAGCTCCTCTTTTGGTAATAACCAGAACCAAGTTGCCTTTAGTTGAAACTTATAAACCTCCTTCTTTTCTTTAGGTAGGTCCCCCTTTTTTTAGATAACCAATGATTACATCCATCCAACTTGGTTTTACCTCACTAGAGAGTACTTTTTTTGATAATAGTGCTACAATACTTGATTTTCCTTTGTACTTGACTATTACAGTCCTTCCTTTTCTTTTGTCATTGGCCGATGTTAGGGATGCAAGTGCGTTAGCATGCACATTTTTTACTCGGCCTACTTACTGAATGGAGTACTCTGGGATCCAACTGATCTCTTTCTTAGAAAAATCGTAGTAAGCGACCATCCTCTCGTCTTTCGCTCTGTAATCCCCAAGTATCTGATTTACCAGTCGAAAAATATCTGAAGCTTCATAACTCTCATATCAGTTACAAGCCTTACTTCTACTAGCCAGGCTTCATATTCTACCTCATTGTTTAAGTCTTGAAAACAAAGACTTACAGCTTTCTCCAATACATCCCCCTCAAGACTCTCAAGTATGATTCCTATTTCTGCTCCTTTCTGGTTCAACGATCCATCATCAAATAGGCTCCAACATCTTATAGTGTCTATCCTGACATCCGCATCAGCTCCTGGATTCAGGGATGGCTTTTCCATGGAATTGTGATATGGGGAGAGGTGCATCATTTCACATGACGCCCCATCTATCCCTTTTTAACTCATATACAGCCACAGATAAAATTTTACCAGTTTAGTTGGCCTCGAGTTCTACCCATGCAGTTATCCATATAGGAAATATAAATGTCAACCCCTCAATTACTCTCGTTGGTGTTTCACATGTCCCTACCTTTCATTTTAATTCATTATCTGTACAAAAGTTATGCCATGATCTTAAATGCGTTGTATTTTTTTTCCTAATTTTTCCCTCTTTCAGGACCTGAAGTTGAAGACTGTGATTGTAGCGGGTGAGGCACGCAATGGCTTGTATTACCTTTGTCCATCACCTCCCGCATCCGTTGCTGCTCTCACTGATACCTCCACTCTATGACACCAAAGATTAGGACATCCATCACTAGCCAATTTACCTCATTCTCTTGTTACACACACTATTAATAATACTTGTCCTTGTGATGCTTGTTTGCATGGAAAACACACTAGGCTATCTTTTGATTTAGTTCTCAATAAAACTAATATTCCATTTTCTCGCATATTTGTTGACATTTGGGGTGGCTATCATACTCCTTCAACCTACGGGGCTCGTTATTTTCTTACAATAGTGGATGATTGCACATGCACCACTTGGGTGTATCTATTGTGTTCCAAATCAGATGCTTTTTCCAAAATTCAATTTTTTCTCAACGTGGCCAGAACACAATTCAATGCCAAAATTAAATCCTTTTGTTCAGACAACGGTTCCGAATTCATATCTCACCCGATTTTAAAAATATTTCACAACAATGACATTTTGCAAGAACTAACTTGTGTTGATACACCCCAACAAAATGTGTAGCTTAACGTAAGCATCGTCACATATTAAATGTGGCTCGATGTTGTTTTCCCGCTCATCTTCCCATCAAATTTTGGGGTGCATGTATCTTAATGGTAGTTCATCTCATTAACCGAACACCCTCCCACTCTTTAAAAAATGCATTGCCTTATGAACGGCTTTTTCGTAGAATCCCAAATTACAAATATTTGTGTGTTTTTGAATGTTCGTGCTATGCTCACACATCTCGTGTTGGTCAAGATAAATTTCAACCTCACGGTGTTCCCTATGTATTTTTGGGGTATCCTCCTCGCCACAGTGGATATCGTCTCTTTAATATTGACACAAACAAATTTTTTATCTCTCGAGATGTCACTTTTTTTGAGAATATTTTTCCCTTTCATGCTCAGAGCTCTCACCCCACACCACCTCCCACCAACTCGTTGCCTTGTCTCATCGGTGTCTACTCTGTTGAACCCATCAGTCCTCTAGATTAACCCATACATGGCCATAACCCCTACCTCCTCCTGCTTCACCTTCAGCATCTCTCCCACACTCCTCGTCTCCAACCCATTCTCCTCCACCTAACATCCATCCTTCTTTCCCACCCCCAGACCCTCCCACAATCATCATCCACCGCGCTACCTTCAGGACTACCTTTGCCCTACTTTTCCCGCAGCTACAGCCACGGCGACCTCCACCCATACTCTGCCGTAGTCTTCAGGTAAGGTTTGCCCCCTCAGTCAATTCATTTCTTATTCTAATTTTTCCCCTTCTCACTTTGTTTTTCTCTCGGATTTATCTAATTCTCACGATCCTTCTTCCTATGGTCAAGCCATCAAGCACCAACACTGGCGTGATGCCATTTCTCAAGAACTCAATGCACTTGACCAAAACCAAACTTGGACTCTTACCCCTCTTCCCCTTGGTAAAAACCTGATTGATTGTAAATGGGTTTTTAAAACCAAACTGAAAGCTAATGGCTCTGTCGAACGATACAAAGCACGCTTGGTTGCTAAAGGTTACACTCAAGTTGAGGGCTTGGATTACCATGACACGTTTGCGCTTGTTGCCAAGTTGGTTACTGTTCGTTGTGTACTCGCTATTGCGGCTACTCGCAACTGGCACCTACACCAATTAGATGTCAACAATGCTTTTCTACATGGTGATCTCCACAAGGATGTTTATATGTCCCTTCCTCTTGGATATGGCCGACAGAGGGAGACACGTGTTTGTAAATTACAAAAAATCATTCTATGGTCTCAAATAGGCTTCTCGAAATTGGTACTCTAAACTGTCCGCTGTCCTTCCCTCTGCTGGTTTTAAACCATCCCAAGCTTATCACTCTCTCTTTACTCGACAAACTAGTTCTACCATTCTTGTTGTTCTAGTTTATGTTGATGATTTACTTGTCACAGACAATGATTTAGCATCCATCCGCTACCTACAGGATTTCTTGTCAAGTAAATTTCAGCTCAAGGACCTTGGGAAGCTTAAGTATTTTTTGGGTATCGAAGTTGCTCGATCTGACAAAAGAATTTTTATTGATCAGCGTAAATACACCCTTGACATTCTCACTGATGCTGGCCAAACCGATTTTTGCCCCGCCTCTACACCCATGGAGCAACATCTTAAACTCATAGCTGATTTTGGTGAGCCCCTCTCGGATCCGAGTTCATACCGCCAACTCATTGGCTGCCTAATATATCTCACCATTTCTCGATCGAACATCACTTTTGTTGTTAACCTCCTTAGCCAGTTCATGCAAACTCCAAGGGTCCCTCATTTGGATGTTGCTACTCGCATCCTTCGCTACCTCAAGGGCACCGCCTCCCACGACTTGTTTATCTCTACCAATTCTGCTCTCATTCTCATTGGTCACACCGATTCAAATTGGGCCAGCTTTCCTATGACTCGCTGTTCCACTACCGGTTATTTCATTACTCTTAGTGGTAGTCCTATCTCTTGGCGCACAAAGAAACAAAGTGTTGTCTCTAGATCATCTGTCGAAGCCAAATATCAGGCCATGGCTTCTACTACTTGCAAATTGTTGTGGCTTCATCAATTACTTCTTGATTTGGCGGTTCCTCTCTCCTTCCCAATAGCTCTTCACTGTGACAATCAGACTGCCTTGCACATCGCCCAAAATCCTATATTCCATAAGTGATCCAAACACATTGAAATAGACTGCTATCTCGTTCGCGAAAGGATTCAACAAGGTCTCCTTTAACTTCACCATATCGCCTCCATTGACCAACTCACGGACATCTTCACTAAGGCATTGGGAGTACCTCAATTTCACCACCTTATGTCCAAGCTGGGCATTATGTCCCTCCATGCTCCATCTTGAGGGGGAGTATTAGCGCATACTATGTAAACAGGCCACACATGGAAACCGAGAATTTAGATTCACTCAATTGGAATCCTGCTGCACATTGAAACAATTAATTAGGATACGAAATCAACTAGGATTCTAGTTCCTTAATTTTAGGATCTTGATTCTAGTCTTTCTTCCATATAAATGTATAACTCTATTCTACAATGAAGTAATGAGATACAACCCAATTCAGTCAATAGATACTCTGTTTTTTTCAAGAATTTTGTTTATTGTAGATTTATGACTTTTTGGAGAAAAGAGCATTCTCAATGTTAAAGTTTATTGTTTTTTATATGATGACAATGTTCGTTGTTTTGTTTCTTATAAAGGGAAAAATAATCAATATATTTAGTTACTTCTTCTAGAAAATATCAGTCTACTATATTTTTTGAACATGAGTTGTGCCAATTAACTTTACACAATACAAAATGTTTATGGGTTTGTGTGTTTGTTGTGGATTTTTTCATATACATTTGTTTAGGAGGAAATCTTTTTTTTTTATAAAAGATGACACCTTGATAAAGAAAAGAAATTTAAAACATGACCCTTCTCTAACGGTCACTCCAAACCACCATCTCTCCAGCAAGAAGACACTCTTTCTGGACTAAACGACGACGTTTCGGTAAGTAGCCCTAAAACTCTTTCACTTGATGAAGCCCTAAATACTTTGGAAACCCTAAGATTATCACATTGGCGTTCTCTAGATTCGAAATTTAGTTTAGTTAGCGGGATAAAATCAGGTGCCACCGATGCGTTTTCGTTGCCGCCATTGTTTGCCAGCGTCAGATCAAATGCTAGGAATGGGGCTGCCCTTGCGGCCGCTGCCGCTGTTTCCCGTTTGGTTCTGACACCGCATGCGGCTACCATTAAATCTAGAAGAGCGTCCTCTGCTACTTTCAACAAGGTTCTCGACAGTTGTGAAGAATTGGATTCGAAAGCGAGTGGTGGTGGTTCTGAGGTTGTTTCGGAGGGTCGTGCTGATTTTGAGGGATTAGGAGGTCCAAATAATGATGCGGATCAGGTTGGTTCTGAAATGCGTCAGTCGTATGAGAAATTTGTTGAAGAAGATAATGTGGAATTGGACAACTTCCAATCTGCAGCAGTAGAAGTGATCCCAAAAGTAGATGCTAGTGGGGCGTTGTCCACAGGAGGTGGAGATAGAATTGGAGAGTTTTGTTTGAGTGAGTCCGATGACGGTCAAGTATCTAATGTGGATAATTTGGAGAGAGTGGCATCATCAAGTCCCTATGTTGAACACTACGTCACTTCTCCTGTTAGCAGTGTGAATGATTTAAATTTGGATGATGTTAAAGATGAAAAGGTTCCATCTTCGTCAGCAGATGAGAAAAATGATGACAATGCTGAGCTTATAACTCTCGCTATATCTGAAAAGCAGAGCTCTTCATCCCATGTTTCTGATGAGGGCGCAAATGTTGTAGAGGATTCAACAATTGTCATTTCGAAAACACATGATTCAGAGCATGTTGTACCTCAGTCTAAATATGGAGGAGTGAGTCTAGCTGGAGATTATACCAGTTCACCTAGTAATGCTATGGAAATCTTTGACCTTCAACCGGAAAGCTAGAGGAGTGATAAAAGGACACGCAAGAAATCACGCTCTTCCATGAAGCCCCTTGAACTAGCTGAAGAACTTGAAAAGAAACAGGCATTCACAGGTTTGCATTTGGAAGAGGGTGCCGCAGCTCAACCAATGAGGCTTGAGGGCGTTCACAGGGGCTCTACTGTGTTGGGATACTTTGATATTGATGTCAACAACACTATCACAAGGACCATCTCATCTGAAGCATTCAGGCGGGGTTATGGATCGCCTCAAGTCGTGGCGGTTCATCTCAACTTCATTGCAGTGGGAATGCCGAGAGGAGTGATCATGGTTGTGCCCAGTAAATACTCTCATCATCATGCTGACAACATGGATACAAAGGTTCTTTGTTATTCCTACACATATTTTACCTTTTTTTTTGTACGATTAAGGATTCGGGCATTATATATATTTATATATATAAACTACACAATGTAACACACAAAAATCGCAAGCAATTGCCAAACATTAAAATGAATGACATAAAAATATTCATACAAATTCTTTTAAAATAACTCGAAATATACTATTGACTATATCCTTTATATTAATAGAATTATAACAAAAATGTACTAAAAAATTCCCTAAAACAACATCACATGTACAAATACCTCAAAAAAAAAAATTAAATACTAACTGAACCTAATAAAATTTATAATTTTTAAGAAATAAATAAAATCTTGTTCATTTATAAGACGTATGAATTTATCACTACTATCACCATTCAACCCAATAACACAACATAATTATAAACTTAATCACCAAATTTGCCATCCACCCCATGTAATAAATACCTCAAGTAAAAACAAACAAACACTAACAGAATATAATTAAATTCACAATTTGTAAGCAATAAATAAAATCAATCAAATTTTACTCATTTATAAAACTTATTAATTTATCACCACTATCACCATTCAACTCTAATGACAACAATGTAGTTATAAATTAAATTATTAAATGTCCAATCCCCCACATTTAAATATACACAAAAACAAATCTGCATACATTTCTTTTTTAGTTACTAATAAACCCTCTTAACTAACAACTGTTTTTGTTAGAAATACAACAATTCAAGCTTTTAAGATAAAATAATAATAAATTATAATCTAAGTAAAAAATAATATTAGAAAATCATCAAATACCTCATAATTTGTGTTTAGTGAAGCTTCTACAAGTATGTAAACTTGCCCACACAATCCTAAAAGGCAATAAAAACTATCAAATTCCACACCAAAATAATCGCCCATCCACACCCACACCTGCACTCATATATAACAAAACTCAGAAAATATAAAAGTGGATAAAATATAATCAATACTTAATTGTCTGTTGAATCTCCAAGAAGGATGAGAACCCACAACCCTCTTTCACCTCAATAATATAAATATCAAATTTTATTCTCACACAATCTTCTTTCACCTCATCTGCACTCACATATAGAAGAAAAAGGAAAACCCATAAAATAAATAAATAAAGAAAACATAAATAAATAAATAAACCTACAAAAATAATCTATATAAAAACCATTATCAATAAACATCCTAGAGGAATTTAAATACCTAATTTTAGATTCAACATAAAGACACAAAAGTTCAACAATAAAGAGTTCAAGCTCAAGCTGAACAATGTCCAAAACAAATTATAAGTCTCTTTAATTGAGCCACCTAAACAAACCCAGACACAATAATAATTTTTAGCTTTGTTATTGCATCACACATAAACAACTCGAATGAAATTTTGTTCACAACAAAAATGAATAACTTAGACACATATATTACATATAAATGACATTAAAAAAAAGGTGAACTGAATTTTATTTTACCACATATGATAAGAGAATATTCCTTGGCTTCTTGCTTCCAAGTAATTACGGAATTGCTTCAAAACCCAAAGTGATGTGTCATAAAAAGAATGTTTAGTAATAATTTTCATACGAGTTAATTAATACAATGACATTAATGACCTTTTATTGTAACTTGAAAAAGATACTAATAAAGGTATACGATTTTTTTTTTATTACATTGACCAAATAATGAGACTAAACTACGAAGAATTTTCGGATCAAAATTTAAAATGAGCAGTAAAAAGATTGTTTCCCGGTGCTCTGTCAGCAACTATGCCATCGAAATTTGAAATGAACTTCAAAATGATGATCCAAAAATGAAGCACGAAATCGAAACATTGCTTAGTCAATATCATTACATTGCATTTGTTTTCAATTTATATTTTTTTTTCACTTTTTTCTCTCTTTCTTGACTCGGTTTGTTCATCAAAACCTTATACTTTGTTTTTTAATGAAAACCTTGTACTATTTTTCCATTATTCTTAGAACTATGAAAAGGTTATGATGTTGGGTCACCCACAAAGTTGGTGCTGATAGATGTGAATAGAAACCTGCATTAATTATATAGTTTATCTGTCATCCCTTGGCCATGGTCTTTTTTATCTCTTTGCCGACTACAGGTGATGTGAATAGCAGTTTTAGCATCCTCTTCACAATACCATTAGCTTGTGGGGCATACAACAATGTTGGACCCCATAATCCTATACCCTGCAATCCCTTGTTTTATTTTTTTTTTTAAATTTTAATATTATGTAATACTCTTTTCATGATCACCTTACTTCACAATTCTAATTTGTCAACCTCTCACGTCTTTTATATTTAATGGTGTAGGAATAATGGTGGGAGATATATTGGGGGCAAGGTGTAACGGGTGATGGTATGTTTTTCTACAGGACACCGCCTTTATGATATCTCTCGTCTTGGTCTTTGTTTGTTCTATCACATCACTCTGTGGTGTGGTATTTTGCTCGTGATAAGGTATACCCGAGAATTCATACCGAAAAATTTGTACGTATCTTGTTTAACAGATATATATTTCTTCTCCCCGGCACTCTAGATTTATTGTGGGGATCTGATTGAATGAAATAGATCGTACAATCGATCAGACAACGAATTCAGAATATAGTCTCTGTAGCAAACTTCATCCTCCATGCGTTTTTTGCGGGTTGCTGTAGTTTTTTCATTTTCTTTGTCAGATGGTTCAGGAATAGTTGGCAGATTTCTACTTAGCAGATACGCAACACCCAATTCAGTAAGTAAGAAAAATAATTTATCCTTCCAGCGTGTGAAGTTCGTTCCATCAAAACGATCCAACTTGAACATTTCGGGATTGAACTTGAAAGCAGAATTCGAAACAGTAACAAAACCAGTAGCCTTCATTGCTGTATAATTTCTTTAAGATTATTAGCAAAATAACTACAACAAATTAGAATGTTTTGATCGTGTATTCACTCTCTTTAAGGAAATTATGCCCTTACTATGTTGCTGTTGGATTTGTGGCAAATTCTTCTATAATTAACAAAGCCAAATAGAATTTTAGATAACAAACTCTAAAATTCTCCCAATAACAGAATAGATAAACGTTTTGTATATATTTTATTGAAGAATTTGTATAGGTATTTATAATACCTTAGAGATGTAAAGAAATGACACAATTCTTGGGCTAAAAGACATGTGGCAGTTAATTAACTGCTTAATTAATACAAATTATTAATTGTTTATAGGCTTCAAGCCCAAGATGCACCAAGTGCTTATCTTTTGACTTTAAATATTATTTTATTTAAAGTCTAATCAAGACACATTAATTTGAAATATTTGGAGCTTCCCTCCAAATTTTTCCACGATCCAAATTTATAAAATTTAGCGTGTTTATTCTTTTAAACTCTTACACTCCCTTTAAATTTTCTAATGTGAGATATCTTACATTACTAACTATTTCTAAGAGAGTGCATATTATTATCAATTTAAATCAAACTTTCTCTAAGAACGCTACTTCTTAACTTTGTATTTTTTTTAAAGTGAGTATTATTTTTCTAGATAATGAGGTAGACGGTAACAATTTGCTTGAGAAGGTCGAAGAGTATCTAACATATGATTGTTTTATGTATGCGCCATTGTTTATTTCTCAACCATCCTCATAGATTGTACTCGATTTTTTTTTCAGTTGAAATGTTGTAGTTTGGTATTTATGGGTTTTAAAAAAAATAAAAGTATGTTGTAACAAGGTAAACATGTTGTAATTCCTTCGTACTACCTTTTTTTTTTGAAAGAAGGAGAGTTCCATTCAACTATAAAATGATCGATTACAGTCGGATAAAATCAACTCCCTAAACACAGGTGGTGGATTAGCCACCCAATCCTGAGGTAAGGGGTGATGAAGTTTAGACTTGGCCATCCAATGAGCTACCATATTGGTAACTTGAGGCATGTATTTGAGGTTCAAATTTAAGGTTTCTACAGCTAACTTGATATCTTCTATGAAGGCAGCAATTTCTCAGGGAGGTGCATCTTCTCTTGTGCACAACAAAATAAGGGATTGACTGTCGCTTTTGATTGTGGTGTGATGAAAATTCCAAGTCATTGCCATAAGACAAGCTCTGCGGACTGCCGCTGCCTTAGAATAAAGGCTTGACACTACTGGAACAGAGAGAGAGACTCCATCCAAAAGACATCCATTTGTGTCTTTGCACACCACTCCCACAGAAGCTCTAGAGATGTTTGATTTGAAAGCTCCATCACAATTGAATTTAACAGAGTTTTGTGTTGGGGCAGCCACTGGGGGGCAGGTATAGCTTCTTGTTGATCAGATTTAGAGCGGCAACTGGCATAGGGGATCTAGAGAAGCTATATTCACCCCATCCCAATGTAGCTCTTTTGATAGCATTCAAAAAGGGTTAGGAGGTTGCTGTTGAAAGATGGCTTCGTTTCTAATTTTCCATATGGTCCATCCAACGGAAGCAACTTTCCCCAAAACTTCCACAGCTGGCCTATAGTCTATCATTGCTTCTAGAAGTTCTATAGTCCATTGTTTGATAGAAGTGACTCCTTGCTGGCCCGATCTAATCCCCAAATCACACCCAAACCACACTCTCTGAGTCCATTCACAAGAGAAGAACAAGTGTTCAATTGATTCCGCCTCTGAATTGCAGATCCTGCATATAGGGGAAGGCAAAAATTTGCGTCTAAACAAGTTTTCTTGTGTCGCTTGAGCATTGGAGCATGCATTCCACCAAAATTGCTCAACTTTCAGGGTCGCTGTAATTTTCAAAACAAGTTTCCAAAGTTTTGGAAGTAGAGAGTCCGAGGACCTTCATTGATTTCTTGACTTCAACTGTTTCTCCTATCGAGCTGCAGCATATCCTGACTTAACTGAATACATACCTTTCGGATTGGGGTGCCAAATCAGTTGGTCAGACCCCATAAATTTAGCTATAGGGATTTTGATAATTGCTTCCCATTCCTCAGTCCTTATCACAGTTCTTAAGGTGTCCGTTTTCCAAACCTTATTCTCCTTAGAGATAGCATCTTCCACCAAGCAAATCTCGCATTCAACGGGTTTAGTAGACACGATTCTGAAATTTGGAAGAGTAGGCATCCATTTATCCTCCCAAAATTTGATCTTGTTCCCACTACGGACTTGCCAACGTAAACCTTTCTCTAGTAGTTCCCTGCCCCAAAGAAGGCTGCTCCACATCCATGACGATCTAGCACCTGGTCTAGCCTGTAAAAAATTTGTGTTAGAGAAATAAATAGATTTGATGATACGCGCCCAAAAGGAATTAGAATTTTGAATGAGTCACCACCCTTGCTTTTCCAAGATTGCTTGGTTTGAAGCATTGAAAATCTCTAAACCCCATACCCCCTTGCACCTTTGGGAGAGTCAAATCATCCCACTTCCTCCAATGTATTCCATTACCCTCCGAATTCTTTCCCTACTAGAACTTCCTCACTAGGGAATTGATTTTTTCACACAATTTCCAAGGGAAAGCTAAACATGACATAGCATAATCGGGGATTGCCTGCACCACTACCTTGATCAAGACCTCCTTACCTGTTTGAGAGAGGTATGCTTCCTTCCATCCTTGAATCTTCATCATAACCCTTTCAACCAAGTAATTGAAGGTCTCTGCTTTAGAATGACCCCAAAAGGATGGGATACCCAAATATTTAGCATTACTTGGTAAAGCTTCAATCTCCAACCTTTCAATTAAATGATTTCTTACCTCCGGTGGCGTATTTTTTAAAAATAGCACTCCCGATTTCCTGAAGTTAATAAGCTGTCCCGATGCTTCGCAATATCTGGATAAGGTACTCCTTAAGTGGCCCCCTCCCTCTCATTTGCCTTCAAGAAAATGGGAGTAATCGGGAAAAAATAAGTGGGATAAAATATGACTCCTACTTTTGATTCGTATACCCGTGATCCTCCCCTCATTGAGATCTTTATAGATGAGCCTAGAGAGAGCGTTTGCTACAAGGAGAAAGAGATAAGGAGAAATTGGGTCTCCTTGTCTAAGTCCCCATTCTAGTAAGATTTCGCAAATGGCAGCCCCATTGATCAACACTTCAAAATTCACCATAGTAACACACTGCATGATGAGCTTAATCCAAGAAGCATGAATCCCCAACCTCCTCAAAATTGCTTCCAATAAATCTCATTCAACTCTATTGTAGGCCTTGTTGAGGTCCAACTTAATTGCCATAAGCTTCTCTCTACCCGATTTGATTTTTAGGGTGTGAAAAGCTTCATTAACAATAAGTATACTGTCCTGAATTTGGCGCTAGGGAACAAAGGCCGCCTGGTTGGGTNGCCCAAAAGGAATTAGAATTTTGAATGAGTCACCACCCTTGCTTTTCCAAGATTGCTTGGTTTGAAGCATTGAAAATCTCTAAACCCCATACCCCCTTGCACCTTTGGGAGAGTCAAATCATCCCACTTCCTCCAATGTATTCCATTACCCTCCGAATTCTTTCCCTACTAGAACTTCCTCACTAGGGAATTGATTTTTTCACACAATTTCCAAGGGAAAGCTAAACATGACATAGCATAATCGGGGATTGCCTGCACCACTACCTTGATCAAGACCTCCTTACCTGTTTGAGAGAGGTATGCTTCCTTCCATCCTTGAATCTTCATCATAACCCTTTCAACCAAGTAATTGAAGGTCTCTGCTTTAGAATGACCCCAAAAGGATGGGATACCCAAATATTTAGCATTACTTGGTAAAGCTTCAATCTCCAACCTTTCAATTAAATGATTTCTTACCTCCGGTGGCGTATTTTTTAAAAATAGCACTCCCGATTTCCTGAAGTTAATAAGCTGTCCCGATGCTTCGCAATATCTGGATAAGGTACTCCTTAAGTGGCCCCCTCCCTCTCATTTGCCTTCAAGAAAATGGGAGTAATCGGGAAAAAATAAGTGGGATAAAATATGACTCCTACTTTTGATTCGTATACCCGTGATCCTCCCCTCATTGAGATCTTTATAGATGAGCCTAGAGAGAGCGTTTGCTACAAGGAGAAAGAGATAAGGAGAAATTGGGTCTCCTTGTCTAAGTCCCCATTCTAGTAAGATTTCGCAAATGGCAGCCCCATTGATCAACACTTCAAAATTCACCATAGTAACACACTG